ATAAATTTCAAGCAAAACAAAATAAAAATGAACTAGTTAAAATATACATAATTTAAAGGAAACTCTGTTAAGGAATAAATCAAAGATCACTATGTCTTTAGACGAAAAGGTACAATCAGTGCACATTGTCCCAGAATACATATAACACCAAAGAATCACCTAAAATTTAATAAAGGTGATTTTACAGGGGAGACAAGACGCATATTTTTATATAGCTTCGCACATAATCCGGAGAAGAACTAGATCAGTATTTACAGAACATAGAAATTTGAAGCATGCAAGGTAGCACTGGTAGAAGTCAAAAGGAACTAGCTGTCTCATAAGACATATTAAATGCTAGAATAGAGGAAAGAATCAATTCTCAGTGCAGATAGTTGACTGACAATCAGAGGTAGGTCATCCTTAATACTACTATTTGAAAACCAATAGGATCTGAATCCAAAAAAATTATTAAAAAAAATACTTACGAGACATATAAATCATCTCCCCAAGTATATTCATGATTCAGGAAATAAGGAACTATTGACAACACATAAGTAACAAGCTATATCTTCATTGATGTGATATAAAACATAAGGAGGAGCAGCCAAACACCTCAAAGACTGATTTCACTCAATTGGCTGCAAATGGTAAAGAAACCTACACCAGACAGTTCTGCTAACTTCAAGTCATCAATCTTGAAAGTGAACAGGCTTGGAACAGGTTCCAAAATTGAATGACCAAGTTGAGTGGCAAGATTATAACCCTGAACAGGAAAAGATGGAAATGAAGTGAAGGAATAGATGCAAAAAGTGCTTCTAACTCATTACCAAACTGACCTGCTTACTACTCCCACTAGCAATAAGTAGATAATCAGCTTCAACATGCTCCACATAATCAAGGCTACGTTTCTCAAGCTTGATGGCAAACTTTCCATCAGCAGTGGAAGAAGCACTAGTAACAACTTTTCCAGTCTGCAACAAGACTAAATAAGGAACTGGCATATCAGCATTTTGATAGGGAAAAAGGAAACGGAATTCCTCACAAATTACAAATACGTAATCTAACTGCTCAAGATTCATAGCTAAGGATGCGCAAGCCTAAACATTCTGAGATCTTCTGGTCTGAACATTCTCTCCTTTTTCTTTTCTTTTTTTGAGAAATGAAAGAAATTTTAAATTAGATCCTTTTGCTTAGCATGAGGGTATTTGGATTCATGGTACAGCATAACTAGGCAGATATTTAATATTTTAACTTGCCAGTGTAGATGATAGAGCAATTTAAGTTTAACGTCAAAGAAATATAGAAGGCTGATCGTGCAGAGCTGTTCAGAACTTCAGATTAGGAGTATATTTCCTTCACAATATTCAGCGATCTGCTTTTGGGTATAGCCCATGAAATATGTCATTCGTAAGTTGCACATTTTGGTTGATATAACTTGTTTATCATCACAAATACGAAGTAAACTACACAGAAAATGCATAAAAATGCAGGAGACTTTCAAAATATTGCTATTTTAGTTTAAGGCGGAACTTTTCCATGTCAAACTGGTGATTGAAACAGAATAGATACACTAGAGGATAATTGAGAAAACTTCAACTAAAGAAGGTAACATACTATAAGTATGCACCGGGTGCATGGAGTCTTAACATGGACCTTAACTTCATGATTGTTCAACATCTAACCTTGGTCTATAGTAGTTTTAACCCTGAAACAATTTCATACACATCTTGGCACTGAATGCTTTAGGCAGAATGATTACAAAGGGTAGACTGTTGGGTTAATAGTTTTGCAGAGTAAATATAGATGAGCATCATGTTTCCGAATAGTTTCTTTGTTTAAATAGCCAAGTTTAACGTAGTCAGTTAGAATCATGATTATTCAACATCTAGCCTTAATCTATAGTAGTTCTAACCCTGAAACAATTTCATAAACATCTTGGTAGTGGATCCTTTAAGTAGAATGATTACAAAGGGTATAGTGTATCCCTAACCTCACAAGGTAGGGGTAAGGTCAGCGTACACTCTATCCTCCCTCGACCCCACCTTGTGGGATTATATTGGGTATGTTGTTGTTTGATTACAAAGGGGATAATATTGGGCTAATATTTTTATAGTTTGAATAGAGATGAGGTTCATCTTTCCTTATTCCAATTTGTTTAACTTGTCACTCTATCTCCGGTCTCCCATATTTTACAATAAGAAAGAAAATTGAAGGATCACATGTCTCAAATTCCAAGATGTTCTTGGCATATACTTGGCTTCAAGTTGACCGGTAAATTCTGTATAAGCAAGTGTCCGTGTACGTGTAGAGAAGTGTATGCAAACACACACGAGCTAACAGAAAACTTTTGCTTTCAGGGAAGTGTGACCTTACAAGAGTAGAAAGTCCAAAGCTATTCAAACAGACAATTTAGATAATACACATAGGCACCCTTGCCCCTGGAGAACTTCTAAGCATATGAATGTATAAGGAGTATAATGTGAATAGAAGTAAAAGCTTATGCAACCATACATGCTCCCAAATAACTATGACAAAATATAAAATAAAATTGTGATAGAATAGTTTATCTACCTCCACTCCTCTTTGCCTCAGACATGAGACAATCAATTATAGTAGATGAACTATCACTGGCGGGAAAGACCCTTCCGTCTTCCTCTATCTGAGGCAAAATCAGCAGAACTACACGTTAACATCAACAAGAAGAAAAGAAACATAAAAAAGGTAGTCTAGGAGATTACTTTTAACACAACACCATGATCAGAGAACCAGGACATTGTATCCATTGGACCATGAGAATGGAAAAAGGAGCCTTTAAATTCCTTATGACCCCTTGGATACTGTTCAGCCAAAATCTGCAAACGAGTTTGGTTTCGGTTGAGCTTGACTTATATGCTGCTAAAACACCACATATCTGAAGTTGAAAATGATACTCGACTATGAGCACCTTTTAGGAAAGAAAAAAAGAAAAGAACACAAACATACTTGTACTCTTGGCTCAGTTATTTAAGTTGATTTTATAACTCTAATAAACTATAGCCTACAGACAAACATCCTACTCAATCAGTATAAAGGAATGCAAAATCTGGACTGAGGGAGTTGAGACATCAAACAAAAAAAATACTATTTTAACTCAATTATTTATTTGTATCTTCGATTTTTCATGTGCAAACCTAGGCTAAAAGGTACTTATCTTCAAATCCTTAAGGTATAATTTGCAGTATTTTCTGAATTCCAAAAATTACAGATAAATAAAAGTCACTCTTCCAGAAGTGTCATAATCTAAGAACATCAAGCTTTGGGCACCAATTCTACAACTTACTAAGCATAGAACATATCTTTAAATTGCAAAGAGAATTTTACCTTGTTGTCAGGACAATGCCCATTAGTCACATTGCAACGACCTCCTCCAGAAATTTTGACCTACCAAAACAAAAGAACAAAACTTTCCACATTACAAACACAAAATTAATATTCTCCACTTTGAGAATATTGTATCAATTACCTTTGATAAAGGTTTCGCTTTTTCAATAACAACAATTTTAAGATTCGGCGCGAGAGTCTTAGCCCTTATAGCACCGTAAATTCCAGCTGCTCCTCCCCCTACTACTAACAAAAGCTCTTCACCTGACTACTTTACCAAAAACACATATATTACCAAAATTTGCAGAAAAATAGTTAAATTCTCTGTACATTACTTTAAATGTTACCTTTGGAGTAGCTGAGGAGAGAGTAGTTGCACTGAATTTTCTTCTTCCATGGCTAGGGATTGAGCATGGATATTTTCCTTTGAAAGTTGAAGTTTGAGAGGCAAATCCAAAACGAAAAATGAATCGCTGCGGTAGCAAATTCATTGAATGAAAGAATTCAAACATTCATCCGTTCGAATTTTAGGAACGTTTTGTGGAATGCAAACTGATAAAGTAAAAGTTTTTTTAGTTTTTTTTTTTTTCGTATTTTAACTAGTGATATTTTTGCATATAAAAAAAAATTTAATACTAAATTGTTTTGAAATATTGACTATAAAACTTAATTAGTGGTCTAAAATAACCATTTTCCAATTTCACCTAGAAAAATCTTGAAGAATTAACCTAAATTGCTGCATAGTTATATACAAACATCAATTAATATATAGTGGTTGTGTGCTAAAATAACCATGATCTAATTTTAATACTAAATTGTTTTGAAATATTGACTATAAAACTTAATTAGTGGTCTAAAATAACCATTTTCCAATTTCACCAAGAAATATCTTGAAGAATTAACCTAAATTGCTGCATAGTTATATACAAACATCAATTAATATATAGTGGTTGTGTGCTAAAATAACCATGATCTTAATAGATGTGTCAAGTTCAAATGTGACGAGTAAAAATGAATAGAGTGAGTAATTAGATGAAATTTAAGTTATAGCAATGTATGAAAACTAAACTTTCTATTTAAAACTATAACATGATTATTTATAAAATTCATTTGATTAGTAATTTTTTAAAAGGTAACATTTTGTATTATCACTGTGCTTCTTGTCTCAATTGTTAGAAGAATTGCTAGGTTGGTTGTTTAAGATGTTTTATTTTATTAATATGCCTAATGATATGTTAGTTATATTTTGTTACGAGAACTTCAGTGATGAATTTTATTTTAGAGTAGAGAAGCAATGTTTCGTGCTCGAGTCCGGAGAATAAAGAGATACAAAACTTAAAATCCTGACAATGAGGTTTTTTTATGGTGTGAAATCAAATTAATAGAGTCAGTGTGTTCGAGACACTGATAGGTTGAAGCAACAAAAGAAAAGGCATGTTTGGAGAGAGTAGTACTAAAATACTAGTATTGCATCACTTGTTTTGTACATCAAGATTATCAACCCCAAACCCTTGGGGCGCGAATTTGGAATTGTCCCACTCCAATTCGAACCGAATACCAAGAAAGTAACAGAAAATCATAACGACATATTGCAAGGAATTGGATATTTCAACTTGATATGTAACCAAAATTTACAGTCAAAGAAAGTTGCATTTGTCAACTCTCAACAAATAAATAATGCTCTCAACTGGAATCTGCGTCTCTTGGTTGCATTACATTCACTTAATATATACCAAAAGAAGAAAGAAATGCCTACAGTCCGGCAGGAACTGATCTAGAGTGTTGTCTACTAGTTCACGTAAACACAATAGCTTTTGTCCGTGTACTATATGTATTACAAAATCAACTAAACATTTGACTATGAACCCAATTATTATTTTATATTAACTTGAGGTCACATATGAACCTATAAACTTCAAATCTTGAATCCACCTCTGGTTCTGGAGAAGATTTTGAATTACTTTCTTGTTGGCAAGCAAAATGTTTCACGATAGAGTCTTCAACACCGACCATTTGGATGTAAGAACATCTGCCGTCAGCTCTCTTGCCACTATCCAGCAGCACAATGCCATTCATGAAACAAGATGCAGGGTTACAAAACCACAGAAGAAAACACCAACAGACAGAGGTCAAAGCAAGGAGGCTCCTAGATTAGATCTATACACTAAAGATAGTCAAAAAGATTCACTTGAGGACTACTTCTTTTGGGCAAACAAAAGACGAACTTTAGTTTAGACAAGAGAACAACCAACTCTTGATGTTTGTTTTGATCTATGGTTCCTCGATTATAGTACTTTCCGTCCTAACTTATGCACACATTTTATTCAAATAGACTAAAGGCCTAATGACTGTCCCTTACCACAGAGAGTTATAGTACCTTATAATAAACGAACGATCAGCAAATATATTAGTAATAGAATCTGGCTGCATTACATAATACTCATAGACGAACGATCAAATAGTAGTAATGTTAAATCCAAATGAAAAGACTAGTTCTTTCATAGACTTGTTGTCATATATGAAAACACCAAGTAACAAACTTACAACACAATTGTCATTGTTGAATCACATTTCTGTTTTAAAAAATCATGTGTCTCATGCTATTTGCAAAAGTTTTCCAGGTGATTGTACATTCTTCAAAAGAGGATTAAGTATACTGACCTTTAGACGATGCAGGCATTACAACAACATGCATAGTTGCATTGTTTGGAGGTAATGCTAAACGGAGAGGATATAAATTCCCATTGAATTTGTTACGCGAACAAACAATAATCTTCTCTAGCCCTGTTTCTTCTTCCAACTTTCGAGTCAGTTCCTCTAGTCCATGCCCTTTGAACTGTAAAGAAGGCCCTTCCGCTGAATCATTCACATTTCCATTTTCATCCGCCACATGGTAATAGATAAGCCTACCTTCGGATTTCACAGACTGCACATTTCATACAAATCTAAGACATCAGTTTTATTCAATACAGTGCACACACTGACTTTGTTTGGTTGCAGACTGACCACAAAATAAAATTTATACTTGACTTGGTTTAAACTTTATAGCACTTCCAATGTGGGGTAACAATACAATGATTCTCATATGATCACTCAATTTTGAATATTTCACTTAGAAAGTCACTCAACTTAGGCTTGTTCACTTAGAGAGTCATTCAACTTTGTTTTATTACTCAAATGTCACTCAACTATTGGTATTTCACTTAGAAAGTTACTCAATTATTAATATTTCATTTATGAAGTCACCCATTTTTCATTAAATTTTGTTAAAATAAAATATCTATTTTAATTATCTTATCGACCCACTCTAATTATTTAATTATATTTTTCTTCTGAAAAATGTACCGTAGCGATTGACAAAAAAAAAAGAAAAATCTCTTTACTATTCCAGCATTGTCTAACTGGAACTAATTAAAAAAGGTTGGAATCAAGAAGTTGAGAAGTAATCCAAAAAACAAAAAAAAAATTGTAGCAATCTTATTATTTTTTAAAAAAAAATAGTTTAAAACAAAAAATATATTTTAAAAAATTTAATAAAACAATTAAAATGAGCATCTTATTAATTTTTTAAAATAAGTTTAAAACAAAAATTGTATTTTAACAAAATTTAATTTAAAAACATTTAAATTAATTGAGTGATTTTCTACGTAAAATATCAATAGTTGAGTGACTTTCTTAATGAAACATTTATAATTAAGTGACTTTTGAGTTATAAAACAAAGTTGAGTAACTTTTCAAGTAAACTACTCTAAATTGAGTGACTTTCTAAGAGAATTATTGAAAATTGAGTGACCATTTGAGATATTAACTCCTTGGAACAAGTACTCCATCTGTTTATATTACTTGGCTCCAATACCAAAGTAGGTGTTTCAGCTTGTCAAATTTAGAAAATCAAGAAAGTTTTATTAATACTTTTTCCTTTCTACCTCTAGTACTCCCTCTGTCCCTAATTATTTGTCCACTTTGAATTGACACACGTATTAAAAAACAATGATTAATGAGTTTACCAATTTACTCCTATTAATTATGAAGTTGATGAATTAAAAACTTAAGATTTTCAAGAAGTTCTACCATTTTCAAAGTAATTAATTGAGGGAATAATAGGTAAAAAAAAAATTGTCCTTTCTTGATTTATCAGAATGGACAAGTAATTAGGAACAACTAAAAAAAAAGTAGACAAATAATTAGGTACAAAGGGAGTATTAAATAACTATATAAAGTATCATTAGTCAAATTTAGAGTTTCAAAGTATCCTTAACAAGGTTAGTTTAGTTGAATACACCCTAATAACAAAGGCTTTCTTAAAGGTTTGTGTAAGTAAATGACAAAGTTGCAGTTTTGCCAAAGCCCTTTTCTTAAAAAGGTAAAGGTTAAAATTAGAAGTAAAAGGTTATTCAAATTTATCTTAGTTTAAACTAATTAAGCACTTGTTTCAGATTAGTTTTGATCTAATGAACCAAATAAATCATAAGAACAATATAATATCATCATCATCATAATTCCAGCATAATTTTGTTCGCGAACCAAATTCCATTTAGCATCAATAGAGCGAACACAAACCTGAGTCCTGGAAAATTTAGCAGATGTAAGACGAAAAGATAAGCTCAAATCATCATCACCCACTGATTCTGAGTGTGAAACGCTTTCATCAGGCAATTCAGGCAGTACCTCAACAGTATCAACTGACCATAAGATCCAATCTTGATGTCTATGAGGTATATCATGTGTAACTGAATTCCTCCAAGGAGGTAATCCACTATTTGCCCTTAAAAAATTCCCATATCTAGTTTTCAGCTTCACCACAGATCCCTCTTTTATAGGTTCCCATTCAACTGATGAATCCAATTTACTAGGCAAACTTTGGACAACTTTCTGACCCGTTACCCCGAACAGACGTTGATCGTCTAAAGCCGTTAGGTATTTTCCATAAATACTTTTTAAACGGATCACATTGTCCAATCCTTCAGGGAATTCGACAGTCCATTTAACGGTCCTTGTAGATCCACTGCGATCTTGGTATACGCATTCTTGATCAGGATCAGCGTGTAAGAATTTGTCATGGTTGCTCTTTAGCCTAACGGATTTCGCTTTCTGGAAAAATTCCATTTAGAATTGAAAATTTGATGTACAATTTTCAAAAATTAAATACCAATGATCTTATTGAATTGAGGAAAAAAGGAAGAGTGTGTGTTTGTGAAACAGCTATTATTAATGTATCTAAGATGTCGTAATTGTGTAACGGGCAGGTAGGTAATATGTTGTTTGTGTGAAATCTTAGACTTTAACGTCCTTTTTTTTTATATATATTGTGTCCAGGCTAATTTCATGGAGTACTTGCTGGCTTGTACTAATATAATATAATATGATAATATCTACTTTTGTCAATTAAAGCTTAATAAGTATTTTTTTATTTTTTTTGTGTATGCAAATCACATGGATTTTTCTAGATATTTTTACTTTTCATGTCAATTTATTTTTCTCCGATATGACTACAAGTTTACTTACCTAACTACGTTGAATAGATTTATTGAAAGAAATAGCGATGACAATAATAATAATAATAATAGCAAATTCAGTATAATTTCACAAGTCTGAGAAGGATAGAGTGTATGCATATCTTAGTTCTATCTTAAAAGGGTAGTGAAGTTAGACCCTCAACTCAAAGGAAGATGTAAAAAAGAGAACTAGCAACAAACAAAAACAACAATAAGATAGTAGAATAATCTAGACTAATGAAACAACAACTAGTAATAAAAATAAAAAAATACAAAGAAAAAAAAAGGAATAAAACTAGTACTCCAAGAATGGGAAACCAATATAATACGTCCGACTACCTACTAATATTTTTCTACCTTAATTCTCGACCTCCACATCCTCCGATCAAAAGTTATATCCTTAATGAATTGAATTTGCATCACGTTTGCATTTGATTTATGACTTGCTCATTTTAATAAGTGGGACTTTTATATGGATCTGACTGAAATAAGCCTAAAAAGCGTAATTTTCCTATTATGTGATTACAAATTAAACAAGTAATCTGTTAACGTTTTTAATTAATCAGATACAATCGACATATGTATATACATCTGTTTCATTTATCAATGAGCATGAAAAAAATTAGATCAATTCTTATTAAGATACGTAATGTAATGTAACAATCCCTAGATATTTGTTCAACATGAAAGCAATTTTTTACTAATTTATAGTTCTTATGTAACAAATGATCGTGACTTGTGTCATTTGTTTGGTCCCAGACTGACCACAAAATCAAGTATTTGTATTAGGTGAAGGCATCTTATGTGATAGATGAATTAAAAAATCAACTCTTATAAAACATTAGTATAATTTTCTAGAATCCAGCGTGCCCCACTCTGGGGCTCTCAGGGGTCATGTGGTAGGATAGATAATAGAGATAGTAATATATAGTTTCTAAATAAAAAAAACTAGAATTATTTTATCTTGAGTTTGATTTGAATATTAATTAATTTTAACATTATTTATTTCATATTTGTAATATAATGATGAGATAATTATTTCATATGTATATATATATATATATATATATATATATATATATATATATATATATATATATGATAGATAACCAATCCCATGAAATATCTTAATTTATGAGATAATTTGATTTATCTCATTTTTCATATCAAAATCTTATTCATTGACAAGCCTTAGGCCAATTATGAAGTGTTTTATCGGACGAGTAAGCTTTGAACATGTTTCGGCTTAGATTATATATGTGTCAATAAATTTATAAAATATATATAAATATTAGATCATAAACTCAGTACATTAAGTTTGATGAAAGTAGTAGAATTATGAATGCAAACTCATAAAATTCAATTTTTAAATTTGTTTCTAAATCAATGTATTATATTGTTCTTTTACTTACTTTGTTTCCTGTTGATCAGTCCCCTAACTCAAGTAATTACTCTTTTCGTTTCATGATTTGTCACATATTACTTTTCATGAGACAAATTACTTATAACTTTGATGGATGTTTTCCTTTCCTATATTTATATTATTTTTTAAAAAAAATTACAGTTTATATATAATATTTTTCATATATTTTTTGAATATTAAAATTTTAAATAAATTAACTTTAAAAAGGATTAATAATTTTTGAAAAATAAAACATGACAATTATTACGAAACAGATGGAGCGAGGTGTCGCGTCGGTGGACATATTATAAGTGGAGTTTCATTAATTTGGCGTTTGGGATGCTTAATTAATCAGCACATGTTGATACTCTATTTTTCCTGATTCTCATGTGAAATTGTCTGCCAGTTTGACAAGGCACACCTGGTCATGAACTTGTGAGTAATTTTCGTTTAGATATTTTTATAATAATTCGTTTTAATTAAGCAACTAAACCCATTAAAAAGGGTTATATAAAGACATTTTAAGATTTTGGAAATTTCTTTTGCATGTTTTCAAGTGTTGCGAATTTTCTTGAACGACAGGTGTCTTTGGAAACATGGATAGTGTTGTATGACTGTGCACATGTTGTCGTAAGGTATTAGGTTAAGTATCGGTGCAATTCTTGTATTTAGTTATTATCATTGAGTATAGTTAAGTTAATCATATGAAATATTCTTTGTTTATAATTATTTGTCTAATTTTCTTTTTTTATTTGTCCATTTTGACAAATCAAGAAAGGATAAATTATTTTTACATATTGTATCCTCAATTAATTAATTTTAAAAAGATAGAACTTCTTAAAATTCTTGAATTTTTAATTCTTCATTATTAAATAAGGTTAAAATAGTAAACTCGCTATGTCAATCATTATTTTCTTAATAGGTGTGTCAATTTAAAAGTGGACAAGTAATTAGGAACAGAAGAAGGAGGAGTATATCATGTCCTTAAATTATATACGCTCTCAGCTTTAATTAGAAAACACCTTAGATTTTACAACTTATTGAGTTGAAAGTGTGTGATTAATAGAAGTAATATTTTTTTAATGGTTAACTTATCTATCTACCTACTTGACATTTAAAAAAGCACATAAAAGAAATTTAAATTTAAATCAAATGTGTATAATATAAAAATATTTTTATAACACGTCGAAATTCAAATGTCTTGTCCTTTCTATGCAAACTAAAAGAGAAAATGTCATAAATAGTCCCTTAATTATAGGTGTAGGTTTAAAACGGTCCCTTAATTACTCACTTACCAAATTTAGTCCTTCGAATATTCAAAATCAGTAAGTGTAGTTAAGAGATTAAACCTGATAAGTTTATTAAATAATTAATGAATTAAATTCAATAAGTGAATAGTTAAAAGATCATTTTAAACCTACTCTTATAATTAAGGGGCAATTTTATAACATTTTCTCCGAACTAAAATATACAACTTAGATCGAAATTCTCCCCCACATATATCTTACCGCACTTCCGAAATGTTCTCCAACAATGTATCTTGGCCAAACAATGAAAGACTGGTAAAACAAAAGAGGTTACATCTCATAACAAGAACAAAATGGTATTTTGCAAATATCATTTGAATTAGCTTCACTTTAGACTTTGGCTTCTCCCATTAATAATTTCAAAAGACCCTTTCAAATATGTGCACATCTTTCAATCCTCCAAAGATCAATTCTCTCATGCATGTATACAAAAGGGTCTTTTGAATGTCATTAGTCATAATCATCATAGATTGTATATAAGAGTTTATCTTTTTCCTAATTAAATAAGTAACATTTTCTTCAACTTTGTAATTAATCTGAGCGATTTTGAATTTGAGGCTTGGAATTAATTAGCATATGGAGTACTTGGAGAACGCGAAAACTATTCGTCTGAAAACGCACAATGGCAAATACCTCACAGCAAGCAATGATGAGAAATCTATACGCCAAAAACGTGATGGCTCAACTGTAAATGCACTTTGGGCCGTTGAATTTTTGGACGACCAACAATACTTGCGCCTTAAAAGTTGTCATGGAAAGTACTTGACAGCTTCAAATGTTCCATTACTTCCTAAGGTAATTTCTCAATCATCATTTTCATCACATTTTTTTCAAATTGGGGGTAGGAGAAGTACAATGTGGGGAATCAAGAGTCCAGATAGTCAACCAACTTAGCTACGAGGATTCCCCTGTGCTTGTGTTGTACTGGAAACTGGAAATTAGGTCAAATAGCTCATGACAATATTCTTATTTATATTATGTCTCAACAGGTAACGGGATCAAGAAAGGTCATGCAGACGTTGCCTAAGAAACTATGTTCCGCAACAGAATGGGAGGCTGAACAAGATGGATCGTTATATCAAATTCGTCTAAAAACGCGATACGGGCATTTCCTGAGACCCTTTGGAGGAATACCACCATGGAGGAACATTGTTACCCATGATGTTCCTCATAGGAAAAAAGCAACTCTATGGGAAATTGAAATTATGGAGACTCACAAAAAAGCTCTGCCTGAACCAACAAATTTCGCCCATATTACAAAAGCATTCTCTTGTAATTTTACTGAGCCCATATAAACAAATGAGTTGTATACATATCATTTCTAATTTCTGGGAGCTTTTTATTTCATTAGTAACTCAAAAATCAATCCATGTTTCTGGTAACAACATGTCTATGTATAGTTCTTTTGCTATAACTTGTTATTACTCCCTATTGTCTCTAATTATTTATCCACTTTTGAATTAACACATCTATTAAAAAAATAATTAACATAAGTTTGTCATTTTACCCTATTTTTGTTATGAATAGATGAATTGAAAATTTAAAATTTTAAAGAAGTTTTGCATTTTTCAAAATAGTAAAAAATAAATTATTCTTTCTTAATTTGTCAAAATGAACCAATAATAAAAAATAATAGTAGATAAATAGTTAAGAAATATGTGATTATTAGTAACAAGCAAAAAATTAAAATCGAGGTGTATATATGCTAAATTACATTTCTTTTTCAAAAGTGTATACAAACAACATTAATTTTGGGAATTGAATTTAGTACTCATTTGCTTTTCATTCTATATAATCAACATGTGTCAAGAGTGCAACTTCTACGCATGACTGCACAAACGGTATTTTCTCCGTATTCAACTTAAACTCAAAATCTTTAATTAAAGATAAAGCAATAATCATCAGTGATCACAACTCATGTTAATTTAAT